ACCTTTCCCCTAAGCGCCATCCCCCCAGGGCTGTCCCTGGAACTACAGCCATGTCCCACTGGGCTGTCCCTCCAGGAGCAGCACTTCTCTTTTCTTAGCAAAAGGCAGGACATCCCTATCCAGCAAATTCTTTAGCCACCCACCAGCCTTTGAATCCTCCTTACACAAGACCACAGAGTGGAGGTTGTTACTCTCTAGACTTTTGGGGGGATTCTCCCTTGGGTGCACAGCAACAAGGCAATGCTAGCGCTTGTATGACTGCTTGTACATGCAAGGCATGGACTGCCACCTGTGTTTTCAGTCACTGTGCCCTCTAGATGTGCTCTGAGTAGGATGCTGACTACATCCCCACACAACAATTGCCGGTAGTGATGATGCTGGAACATCAGTGCAAGGTGTGAGGGAGAGAGCCTCCCACCCTTTCCCTGGGTTGAGAGTCCTCTCACCCCCTAGCCTAGTCCCTTCCATATGAGGGGCAGGATTCTGCTTCATCTTGGGGAAACCTCCCTCCCCCCATGTGTTACTTGTACAGCATAGTTATTTATACAAGTTGCAATTGTCTTGCTAACGTAAGATGCAGTCCCTTCCTTGAGGAACTTAACTTTTAAAGTGCAAGGGCAACAACAAGTAGTGGGAGGTAGAAGCCCAGTCAGTGATTACAATAAGATCCTGTGGTTGCTTCGGTTTGTGATACACACACACAGGATGGTTCTGCATTTTAACTGTTCCTTAAGAGTAAAAGCTTTTACCTTGAGTTCTCTTATTCTGATTAAACTGGAGTGGTCGGAGTAAAGGAGGGTAGATAGTGTGTGAGCACCAGAGGTGGTTAAGAAGCTGCAGGGGAGGAAAGTTGTGGGGAGATATGTGCAATGGGGGGGAGGGGGATAAAAAGCGAGGGGGATCAAGAAGATAGATGCAGCTATTACATGAGGGAATTGGCAAGTTGTGACACTTCAAGTTAACTACCGCGGTGACTACATTCAGGCTAATGGAGATAAAGGAGAGGAAGGCAATGGTGAAATAAGTTTGTAGTGAAAGGTCCTAAAGACCTGACAGAGTGGTCAGCTTTTGCAGTCCTGCCATGTGAAGTATCTCTTGCAGAGATCTCCCTCCAGGACAGAGCTGGTCCTGGAGCAGAAGTGTGTGGCTTGCTTGAGGTGGGGACGAAGAAAAAATGGTAGCATCAGGAAAGCAGAGAACAGTAACTTGAAACATGCCCAGGCTGCTGGCATCAGTGGAGTTTCAGCAGAGGCTGTTTCCAGAATTGGGCTCAAGCATTAATTTTGGAGTTGCATAGAGTGTGGAATGCTGATTTGCTGTTCAGGTGACACCGGCTGGATATGTTGGACCTGTATGCTCCTTACCACCTTGTGCTTTGGCTATTGGAAAAAAAACCCTGTCTTAATACATTCCACACTCTAGCCAAGAAGCAGTAGCTACCAGAAATATTCCGTTTGTCTCTTACTCCTGTGCAGGGAGTTTATGAAGAGACTCAGGAATGAAGTGGGCTTTAGTATCTAGACAACGTCAGACTCTGTATGATGATGTATAGATTAAAACCTTCTAATACAAGAGCCCTATTATTGCTAACTCTGAGCATTCAGAAGTCCTGGTTAGGATGCAAACCCTCTCCCCAAATATTTAAAACTGAATAAATATGGTTTTGTTACCCTTTTGGCCCTTTAAAATCGACGAGTTCAAGCTTCTCTTCAGCCATGAGCACTAGAAGCTTTTTAAAAAAAGCTCCAAAAGCTGCAATTATCATCCAGCTCTAGGAGCAGGAGGGTTTGAGACACCAAATATAAACTCAAAAAACCCACCGCGAGAGCTGGCAAGTTTTATTGCTGGAAAAAGTTGGTGAGTTACAGAGACAAGGTCCCCATTCAGTTTATAATTTGGACCAAGAATTTGTCAATTACATTTTCCAGTTCAAAAGCTATTCAGTTGACCAGTGGCAATAGTTAATACTGCCAGTCCACAAGCACTACACTTCTCCTGTTTAACTCTCAACCCCTCCAACAGAGGGTTTGCAGCTTTCTCTGTGAGTCCACCGAGCCTGCTCTTTGTGTCTAAGGGTGAAGGTCAAGTTAAGGACCTTTCACTGAAAACATACCACGCAAACTTTAGGCAAAGATTGAGATACCATAGCAGTTGAGATCTCCAGAGTGAGGCATTTTCTAATATAAGCAGAAAACTAGTGTTAAGGCCAATACCTTAAGCAGTATTTAAAAATACATCAGAAGTCTCTACAGCCTCTGGGGCACATTTGTAATATGCTCCCTGTAAGCAGTACTGGCCAAGTGATGCTTCCAAAGGCTCTTCAGGTAAAGATCTGGAGGAATGCGTGTGGGGTTTGCTGTCAGACTGGAAGGGCGTATGAAGTGGGGTACCTCTGTTCTGGGCCTACTTCTATTCAATATCCTCATCAATGATTTAGATATTGGCATAGAGAATACATTTTTGAATTGTGCAGACAGTACCAAGTTGGGAGGGGTTGCCAGGGCTTTGGAGAATAGGATTAAAATTCAAAGTTATCTGGACAAACTGGAGAAATGGTCTGAAGTAAAGAGCATGAAATTCAGTAAGTTCAAATACAGTAGAGCCTACTTCTATTCAATATCCTCATCAATGATTTAGATATTGGCATAGAGAATACATTTTTGAATTGTGCAGACAGTACCAAGTTGGGAGGGGTTGCCAGGGCTTTGGAGAATAGGATTAAAATTCAAAGTTATCTGGACAAACTGGAGAAATGGTCTGAAGTAAAGAGCATGAAATTCAGTAAGTTCAAATACAGTAGAAAGGAGCAATCAGTTGCACGTGTTGAAAACGGAAAATTACTGCCTAGGAAGGAGTACTGCAGAAAAGGATCTGGGGGGTTATAGCAGATCACAAGCTAAATATGGGTCAATGTGACACTGTTGCAAAAAACAAACATACATACATTCTGGGCTGTGTTAGCAGAGCTTTGTTAACAAGACACGAGAAGTAATTCTTCCGCTCTGCTCAGTCTTGATTAGGCCATTGTGTCCAATTCTGGGCACCACATTTCAGGAAAGGCGTGGACAAACTGCAGAAAGTCCAGAGAAGTTGTTAAAGATCTAGAAAACATGAGGGAAGATTTAATAAAAAAGGGGGGGGTGTTTAGTCTGGAGACAAGATGACTGAGGTAGGACAGAACAGTTTTCAAGTACATAAAAGTTTGTTAGAAGGTGGAGAGAGAAAAATTATTCTCCTTAATCTCTGAGGTTAGTTAGGACAAGAAGCAATGGGCTTAAACTGCAGCAAAGGAGGTTTAGGTTGGACATCGGAAACATTTTCCAACTGTTACAGTGGCTGAATTCTGTAATAAATTGCCTAGCAAGACTTTGAAAGGTTTTGAAAGACTTGGGAGACAAACACCTGCCAAGGGTGATCTAGAACTTAGTCCCCTGCACTCAATGCAGGATTGATCTAGAAGGCCTTTCACAATCCCTTTCAGTCCTACAATTACATAATTCAAAGTTGGGATGGGGGGGGGAGAGGCGGAGGGATTGTTTTTGGTTTTGCTGCAACACTACAGCTAGAAACTAATACCCGAAAATGCAAAAATTGTCTCTCAGGAGTATTGACTCCTAGGCTATGTTTACACTCGCGACTTCTTGCGCAAGAACATCTTGCACAAGGGTTCTTGTGCAAGAAGTCTTGTGCAAGAAAATGTCCACACTGCCATGTGCACGCTATGCTTTTTCGCAAGAGCTCCCATGGTAGTGTGGACGCTCTCTTGCGCAAGAAAGCTCCGACGGCCATTTGAGCCATAGGGCTTTCTTGCGCAAGAAATCCCTGCTGAGCGTCCACACTGCCCTCTTGCGCAAGAGCTCCTGCCCAAGAGGGCTTACACCTGTTAAAAAGGAGCGTAGCTCTTGCGCAAGAAGCCCTCTCTTACCACGCCGTACTGCACATTTCCTTGCGCAAGAGTGGGCGAGCAGTGTAGAGGCTCTGCGGATTCTTGCGCAAGAACGGCCGTACTTGCGCAGGAAGCCGCGAGTGTAGACATAGCCTTACAGTGTATGTTTATCTTTTGTTGATTGGGGAGGGGGCGGGGGGAAGCGTGTTAAAGGTGATTTTTCAAAGGGAAAGGAGGAAATTTGTCTGTGGACAAGATACAACCAAAAGCTCTCTCAGAAGCTTACCCAAGTCCTAAAGTATCATTTCTTCAGAGTCAATGTAAACAAAAATCTTCAAATCCCAGTGCCTCAAGGGGAAACAAACACATGTTCTGATTTTCCTCTGCCATCAGGGTTAAGGGAAATAAACTGACAGATTGTTCTTAAGATGTTCTCCCAAGAACAGCTGACTTCCCTTACCATGCCTGTAGAATACTACTGCCAACACTTCTATATCTCAGGCTGGGTTCCAATCCATTAACCCTTGCCTCCCAACCTAGGGCTGCCTGGTGCCCTAAGGTTTCCAGACCCAGATGTGTAGAATGTTGGTCTATTTAAAAATTCTAATCTGAGGATTGTATTACTTTAGCCCTTTGCACTCTGTTTTCTTGTTTGTGTTTTAAAAGACAGGAGAAAAAGGAAGAACCTTTAGATGTGTCACCGTGAAGTTACACAGTTGCTTTGGGCAACTTACAGGTTTTAATCTTATCCGCCCTGTAGATACACAAAATTTCTGTACTGTTTTGCAATTTTTCACACAGCTTTGTGGTATGACAGACAGTTATGTAGCTTCAAGCTTGGTATCACACTTTGCTGTGCATGGACAAACCTGCTTCCTTTGAACCCTGATTCCCTGATCTTGGAAAGACATACATACTTAACTTTATGTGTATGACTAGTCTCATTGATTTGTGATTTCTCAGAGTAGACGCAATCTAAAACAGGATATTCCTGGATTCCTCACTATTGTTTTGATGCCTGCTTCAGTCTGTCTAATCAGTATGTCAGATGCCATCCAAGTTGGAGTCTGTTTATGCCACAAGTGGTCTTTATTGAATCCTATTTAGTTTCATGGTCTCCATCTATAGTCTTTTTAATCATTCTTATTTGTATTTACGTTTGGCTCACTTGGAGTTTTTACCAGATAGAGCCAAGGCTCATTTTCATTGCCAACAAGATACTCAAGGGTCATAGAAATGAGTTAAGCCCCTCTGAAAAGTTCAGCCTTGTTTGTGGGAAGCAGGCTTTAGGACCCAGCGAGTCTAATGCCAGCCTGGGAAAACTCATTACAAAGGGGTCACGACTCACAACCCATTTTGTGGTCCAGACCCGCAGTTTAAGAACCACCGATCTAGACTGATTATCTAATCTGACCTCCTGCATAACCCCAGCCGGGGAATTTACCCAACATAATTCCCAGAGCAAAGCTTTTGCAAGAGCATCCAATCTCAATTTACAAATTGCCGGTGATGGAGAATCCATCATAAGCCTTGGTAAATGGTTAATTACCCTCCCTGTTAAACAAGTACACCTCGTTTCCCATCTGATTTCTCTGTCTTCAGCTCCCAGCCGTTGGATCGTGTTGTGCATTTCTCAGGTAGGCTGCAGAGCCCATTAATAGAAACGTGTTCCCAATGTAGTTATTTATACACTGTAATCAAGTCCACGGGTGGAAGGTGCTGCATGTGCAGATTATCACTGGTCCCATTAAATCCTGTTTTCCTTTCTAGCGGGGTTGTGCACCTACATCTGGGGCAGCCATGGAGAAAAGTGGGAACATTCAGCTGGAGATCCCGGACTTCAGCAACTCTGTCCTGAGCCACCTCAACCAGCTGCGCATGCAGGGCCGCCTGTGTGACATAGTGGTCAACGTGCAAGGACAGGCGTTCCGCGCTCACAAAGTGGTGCTGGCTGCGAGCTCGCCCTACTTCCGCGACCACATGTCACTGAACGAGATGAGCACGGTCTCCATTTCCGTCATCAAGAACCCCACTGTTTTTGAGCAGCTCCTTTCCTTTTGTTACACCGGGCGGATATGCCTGCAGTTGGCTGACATCATCAGTTACCTAACTGCAGCCAGCTTCCTGCAGATGCAGCACATTATAGACAAATGCACACAGATCCTGGAGGGAATTCACTTCAAAATTAATGTGGCAGAGGTTGAAGCTGAACTGAGCCAAACTCGGACAAAGCATCAAGAGAGACCCCCAGAGTCTCATCGGGTTACCCCAAATCTAAGCCGCTCTTTGAGCCCACGGCACAACACTCCAAAAGGGAGTCGTCTAGGCCAGGTCAGCACTGTGCTGGACATTCGGGAGCTGAGCCCCCCTGAGGAGTCCACCAGTCCTCAGATAATTGAGCAGAGTTCCGACGTGGAGAGCCGGGAGCCCATCTTGCGGATTAACAGAGCGGGACAGTGGTACGTTGAGACGGGCGTGGCAGACCGAGGGGGACGGAACGATGAGGATGTTAGGGTGCTCGGAGGAGTGCGCATTAAAACTGAGAACCTGGAGGAGTGGCTGGGGACGGAGAATCAGCCATCAGGAGAAGATGGAAGCAGCGCTGAGGAGGTCACAGCCATGGTAATTGACACAACAGGCCACGGATCAATGGGCCCGGAGACTTACACATTAGGGTCATCAGGAGCCAAAGTGGTTAGGCCAACCAGCAGTGAGATTGACAGGTGAGGTTCCTTTAACCCATTTACTGAGTGTGGTTGGAAGAGCAGAGTCCATGATATTTGTACCTGGCTTGACCATGTGTCTTTCCTGATCGTTTGCTACCGTTCATTTCACACGCTCTCCTTAGGCATGTGCGCTGAGAGATTTTCTTCAAAAGCATTTCTGTTACTAGTCCTCAGGTGTCTGCTGGGTGGTGAATAAGAACAGCATCTGCAGTTACAGGCTAGGTAGGATAAAATCAACCTCTTTCAGAAAGGAGCTGGTCGCCAGCTGTGACTCAGGAGGAAACTTCCTCCTGGTGGTACAGGATTATAGAATTCAGTGTGTTGGGGAGGGTGTTAAATCTTCCTCTGAAGCAGCCGCCACTGGCCACTTTGGGACAGAGAACACAGGATTGGATGAACAGCTGTTCTTTCCTGATGTGACCGTTTCTCTGGTAAGAACACAAAGCCTTGATTTATAAGAGGTGATTATATTTGTGTTGTGTCAACTCCCTATCCCTCTGCCTGCCTGACTTGTTCTGATCAAAGCAAAAGGTTCCGGCTGTGTTTGTTGTGTGCGTCTTTCTCACCCTTCCCTCTCTTCTCTCCCATCCTCCCGACTTTCCAGTCCTCTGAGAGAGCAGCTTCCTGGAAGTAGTGGATGCTCCGTCATTTAAAACAATAAAAGCTCTGTAAACTATACTGAGAGGTATCAGTCCTGGGCTTGCCCACAGGGGGAACAAACCGGCTCTGGATAGGTCTCGTTTTTAATTTCTGTGATTCTATTCATTCGTCTCCTTAGATCAGCAGGCCTTAGACACTTGGGTATTCATCGTTTTTCACCACACACAACGTTCACCACTTCTTCCCTGGAGCCATCTGCATCGCCCATGGGACATCCCTCAGCTGCATTTGCCCAGGGAGCTTGGAAGACTGGAGGTGCCTTTTGAGCAGAGCTTTCTTCTCTTGTAGTGCTTCCTAAGGCGTTGGGCTATCCCACTGCCTTTTTTTTATTTTAATAACAACCCAAAACCTGCCTGTTCCTGAATCAAGGTGATTGACACAGCTTCATATTTCAGATATTAAAACTGAAAGCACAGTCTGTCCTGGTGTTTCTTTTTCATTTGCACTGCTCTACGTTCTGTCTTCTGATGGGGAAGAGCAAGAAGAGATTCTCTGCGGCTATTCTTCTTGCCCCTTTGTATGTGTACTGACTGTACTGCACCGGTAGCCATTAAAAACTATTTCTGCTCTTCCCCCCCGCCACAGATTTAGCCCTTCTGGCAGTATGGTCACTGTAACTGAGCGGTTCCGATCGAAAAGCGAGTCTCCCGGGCGGATGGATGAGCCGAAGCAGCCCAATTCCCAGGTACACAACCTAGCACCAGGGGTTGGGTTTGCCTGTTTGGATAACCAGGGACTGATAGTGTTGGAAAGCTACAGTTACTGTATTGTGACCAAAAAGGCATGTCATGTTATATGATAGAAATACTGTATGGATCTGTGGCAACCAAAGACTTAGGCTTTTCCTTTGCTTCTTATTCGCTTGCTTTTTAAGTGCTTGGGTTTTATAAGTGGTGTAAGAGGTAATTCGCACTTTGGTTAAAAGAACAAGAAGACTCCTGCTAACCATGTTTACACAAACTCCTGGTGGTGCTGCCATGGGTGCAGCTGTGTTGATGGTAGCTCTGGAAGGAATTTTTTTCCCTAAAAATGCCCTCGGATTGCTAGAGTCATAGAAGATAAAAGCTGGCTGCTGGCTCACAGCTAACTTGAATAGTTCAGGCATTAGGAGTTTGTGCAGATGGTTGTGGATTCTGTCTTCATTGATGCTCTGGAGAGGGTGGCAAAAGTGCACCTTTTAAGTCATTTAAAATATGTCTTTGAGGGATAGAGGGATACATGGAAAAAGATTTTGCAAAGCTGTCAAAAAGCAGCCATATTAAAGCCTCTTACTCTTTGAATGTAAGTACTTTGTGTATTAAATGCTTAGTACACGCTTTGCTTGTCAGCAGTCCATAAACCTGGAAACTATGAGGCTTTTGTGTGGTTGTTGTTATAATGGGGGACTAATGGGACACATCTACAGAACCAGGACCACAGCTTCAAAAACTTTGTGTCTGCTACTGGAGCCAGAGGAAGAGATTTCAGCATTTGGCACTTAATATATTGGTGCCAAGAGAGGATTTAAGTGTTTCTTATTGTCCTTCTCGCTGACTGTCTTCCTTTTTCTGTCTTTCTGGCCCAGGTGGAGGAGTCAGCCATGATCGGAGTGAGTGGTTATGTTGAGTATCTCCGTGAACAGGAAGTGTCTGAGCGGTGGTTCCGGTACAACCCACGGCTCACCTGCATCTACTGCGCCAAATCCTTCAACCAGAAAGGCAGTCTGGACCGGCACATGCGTCTCCACATGGGCATCACGCCCTTTGTCTGCCGCATGTGCGGTAAAAAGTACACCCGCAAGGATCAGCTGGAGTATCACATCCGCAAGCACACAGGCAACAAGCCCTTTCACTGCCATGTCTGCGGCAAGAGCTTCCCTTTCCAGGCCATCCTCAACCAGCACTTTCGCAAAAACCACCCTGGCTGTGTGCCTCTGGAGGGGCCGCACAGCATTTCCCCCGAGACCACCGTCACCTCCAGAGGGCAGGCTGAGGAAGAGTCTCCCCCGCAGGAGGAAGTTGTTGCGGCCGGGGAGACGGCACAGGGATCTGTGTCCACCACTGGGCCAGATTGAAACGGGCTGTGGGGGAGGACCCTATTCCCGTTTGGCTGTAGGCAGTCAGCACCGAGACGGCAGGCTGGTACTGTCATCAGCACAAGGCCACCACCGGACAGGATGTTGCCAAAACAGAAGAATAACACAAACAAAGTGCTAAAAGCTTTTCCCCGTTTCCTCATCTCCTTGGGAAAACAAACACAAAACAACTGGGTCATTCGACTTCGGATTCAGGGATCGACGGGATTTTTTAAAATGTTTTTAATATATTCAGCAACGAGCCAGGAGAAGCAGCCGTTTTATTTCTTGACAACATTTTGGCTCAGCACCTCGGTCTCTGTGATGGTGTTGGCTGTAATGGCCCCGATTCAGTGCGTGCAGTGCACAGGTGTCTGTCTTCGAAACAGCTGCTGGTCCGTCACATGGGATAGCAGGGGCAAGGAACACGTTACCCTTCTCTTTTCCCAGGTAGTTGTCCTGTTAAAGAAATATCAGTCTCCTGGATCTTCCCCTGCCTTAGTGTATTTATCCCTGTCTTACTTTGGTGTGTGTCGTTCAAAATTTTAATTAAACCGTTAACGTGAGGGCTTTCTGCTTGCCCTTTCCAGGCGTGTGGCATCCTGCCCGCTTGTTAAAAGCGGGCAGCAGCCTTTGAATAGTATTCTAGAGGTCAGCAAAATCTGAAGCGTTTAGGCTACTGAAAGTGAAATTAACAGCTGTGAGGTTTGCATTAGACTCTACTACACTTTTTAGGGAGGGGGTTTGGGACAGGGAAGGCTTACTGGTGGTAGTATTAATAGCACAGAGCATTCCAGCTTCCTGACCCGTTTCTGCACACTGCAGTGTTTCACATGTTGCCAAGAGTTAGGAAGGGGTTTCTTGTCTGAATGAATTGACAAGTGAGAGGCTGACTACCAAAGTCATCTTTGGCTTCCCCTGCACTTGGTCTTACATAAGAGCAATACTGTCTATCGAAACAGTCCAATCCCAGTGAAATTGTCATGGGCTGTTGTTTTTAACTATGTCTCCGTGTACTACTTTGATAAGTTTATATAAATCAAATGCAAAAAAACCCAACATTAACTCCTCAGAATGGTTCAGGAAATTCAAAGTTGCTGTTCCTACAGTAATTGCAACTCCGTCCCTTGCACATATTATATTCCTCATAGCTCTAATAAGTGTAGCAAGCCCAGAGAGACATGCCTGCAGCACGTCTCAGAGGTGTTTGCTCATGCGCTTGTGGTTTTTATAAATAAAAATATAGTATCGATGCAAATTCAAAAGAGCAACAGTTTTGATGCCCCTTTTTAAAAGTCTTTAAAAATATGCAATAGTTTGAGAGTTTGCTTTGGCTTTGGTGCTGGGTTTTTGTGTAGGTGCAAATAGGGATGAACTTCTGGTCTTACTCTGGTTGGAGATTAGAATTAGGAGAGTCTGCGTGTCTGAAGGAACCCTGCCTTCAGAGGGAACGCAGAGAGGATGAACGCTGGGTTTGTGAGAGGAGCAAGGGGGCGTTTGAAAAACAGTGTAAACATGAGCACAGATTTGGCAGACAGGAGACCTCAGTGTTATTCCTTGCCCTTCTAGTGACTTTGCGTACAGCGATATAGCAAAAAAAAAAAGACCTGTGGCAGTAATATCGGAGCTTCGTCAGCTGACCCAGACTCTGAGACTTGTTGCCACAGGATTTTGTGTGTTGCTTTGTTGATGTACCTGACAGTGAAATCTTGGCTAAACCAAACCTTCCCATGCCAGTTTCCCTGTCTGTAAAATGGGGATAATAATACTTCCCTACCTCACAACGGGCTTGAATGGAAGAACTCTAGAAGGGCAAAGTATTATTATCCATTCTCCTTCTGTGTACTCAAAGGGTCACACTGCCTCTTTCCCAGATAGCTCCGGCGGTGGTAGCTCTGTGCGTGCAGTGTAGGGGAGAGGAATTGGAATGAGCAGTTTGAATCCGGTGGTGCCACCATAGAATGCAATCAGGATGCTGTCTCTCAGGAAAGCTTTGGGGATGTTCTGAGGTAGGATAGTTGCAAAGTACAGAGCTGTTAATTACAGTTGGGATTGGTCCTGCCTTGGGCAGGGGGCTGGACTTGATGACCTCCTGAGGTCTCTTCCAGCTCTATGATTCTATAATAGTAGAACCTCAGTTATAAATTGGTCAGCCAAAACCAGAAGTATGCAATCAGGCAGCCACAAAGACAAAGGAAAAAGGAAAAAAAAAGGAGAAGGAAATACATACTGTGTAAAACGTAAACTACTAAAATAACAAAGGGAAAAGCAGCACTTTCCTTCTGCTTAGTAAAGTTTCAAAGTTCTAGTAAGTAAATGTTCAGCTGTAAACTTCAGAAGGAGCAGCCATAATGTTTTGTTCAGCACTGCGAACATTGAGTTACAAACAGCCTCCTTTCCCGAGATGTTCATAGCACTGAGGTTCTACTGCATTTAAAATGCAGAGGCTGATAATGTACGGGCCTGTCAAGTGGCAGCCTAAGACTGTGAGCTAGTGAAGGTCAAACAAAGTATGACCGGAAACCTTACGAGTGTTTGAAAGTGGTCACAAAAGAAAGGAGAGAGGTGGTTAGTAGTGTGGATTTCTCCAAAATCACAGCAGGAGGGGAAGTGGGAATCCACAGAATATGCTGCTTTAGTCATAGCTTTTGAACTTACCAAAAAAACCTACTAGAGAGCATCAGAAAATACTTGTAGTTACCTGCACAATTGTGTTTAAAATAGAACTTTTAAAATACTACCAACTGTAAAACATAAAATTATTTAGATACATACAATATATATATTATATATATAGTGGGAAAGTTTCCCTACTGAGCTTGCTGTGAAGAGAAGAGTGAAGATGAGGTAACTGCTATATAAGCAAAATTTCTCCAAAGCTAATAGCAACAGATCCATCGGGATTAAGCAATGAAGGCCTGAGATGAAATAGTGAATGCCTTGTTCGTATGGCATGGGTGTGAGTTTCCTGAACAGGTTTTTACTGTATTGATACTGTGAACAGAGAAGATCCCAGTAATCGAGGATCATATCAGCACTTCCTTGCTTATTGATTCACTCCTTAATTGGCCTGGCAAGAGCCATGAAATTGTTTATTAGCCGAGGCTAGTCTCAGAAATAAACAATAATAAAGCTTGTGAATTTTTGTGTGTGTGCAGTACTTGCCGTTGTACAAACAACCATTTCTGATTGCATGTGAAAGAGCCAGTATTCTTGTCCAGGCCTTGTTGAGGTGAAGTTTATAGCTTGTAGCTAGGGCAAGTGTAAAGTATGGGTGTGGAGATCATTAGTACACTTCCTGTACATTTACTGAATGAGTATGTGCGGATATTTGTGTGTGCGTGGAGCTCCTGGTGTCTCTTGTGCTTTCTGTAACAATGCTGAAAGCTATCTGCACTAGCAGTTTGAGAACCAGGTTGGAAAGGGCAGTTTCTGAAATTATCCATCCCTAGTGGTGCAGTTTTCTAGTGCAAACAAAGCCAGAATGGGAAATACAGGCAGTCCCCGGGTTATGTACAAGATAGGGACTGTAGGTTTGTTCTTAAGTTGAATTTGTATGTAAGTCGGAACTGGTACATATTGTAGGGGAAACTCGAGCCAAACATTTCTCCAGAGCTCAGTTTTATTCTCCCACACCTCACTTCCCTCAGTCCTTTATTCTCAAGCTGAGGTGTCTGCTGAGAAAAGCCGCTCCACGTCTCCCTGGTCTGCTGGGGGGGGGGGAGCGCTAGCTTCGCGTCTCTCTGGTCTGCTGGGGGGAAGCAGCAAGTGCGGGGTTGCCTCACCCCGTTTGTAAGTAGGGATCCGATGTAAGTCGGATCCATGTAACCCGGGGACTGCTTGTAACAGAAATGACTGGTGTCTTCCCTACAGAAGAAAAAGGAATGCTCATTTTTTAGCAAGGGTGCTGCTGCTTTTAGCAGCTTTTCATGGCATGGTGATAAAAACCTTAGGGTGGCACACATGGGGATTTTACTTCTATTGCAGCTCCACTGATGTTGGGGGGAAAAGATAAATATTTTTCTAGTATTGACATATCTTGGATTGGCTGGGGATCTGACTTGGCATTTCGCTGTGTAACTGCAGCTTTTCACCTTTGCCAAACTGTGATTTCAACTGTGATTTAAAGGGAGCTGTGTAGAGAAGAGCTCTGTTGTGTATTAATACTTCTGTAATTAACATTTCTGTGCAAACTTTAGAACCAGGGCTTAAAAGCCCACTTGCTTACATGCTCCAGGCAAAAGAGGAACATATGGATCATCGATTTCTGCAGAATATCGTTTTTCTGAAGTGAGAGGAAAAAATTCGTATTCTCAACAGCAAAGATAACCTTCCAAATATGAACCGATGCAGGCATCTCCCTGAGTCTGCAGTAAGCTCTGGTCCCTTCACAGCTGGCCATAGCTTTGCCAAGTAGCAGCAGAGTGAAATTAATGCTACTCTGAACAGTTTCATTGCTGCTGCTGGGTTTTCCTTGAATAGCTGGGGGGGGGGGGGGTTGTGTCAGTACTGTGCTGCTGCTTTTCAGGAAAGCTGAAATGCCTCCTGGCAAGGAGAGGAATGGCAAACTCTCAACTACATTCTTGCAGCAGCCTTGAGACTCTGGAGTTACAGGAGGGGAAAAGAAAGCTGCTTCTCTTTTCCCACAGCCAGCTGGAGAAGGGTGGACGATACACATATTTGTATTTCTAGACAGGCTGATGTACAAGTTGGAGTCTCCTAATAGGATCCGGAGATAGCAACCTGATAAGAATCCAAGCAATCGACAGGGTGAGGGAGGTGGGGAAACCCCTACTTACTTTCGTATCAGTCTCTGGGCTTCTCATCGGGTTATTGCTGGTGGAGTTTCTTCATGGGCACCCACTGATCATCTTTCACACTCTGGTCAGTTCGGTTAGTCCTCAGGCAAGTCAGGTTGTTTGTAAAATTTTCTAGCAACCTTCTATAGAATTCAGCTGTCAAAGGCCTGGATAACGAAATAGAAATGAAATAAGGATAATTTCACTTGTAGATCACTGGTTTAAATCTCGCTGGGCTGTGTAGTGACTAAACTTTGTTTTCCTCTGGCAGCTGATCAGTGCAGGAAATATGTTTGGAACTAATTGGCAGCGTTGTGGAAAGTCTTAACAGAGAGACTGTAGATTGAATGAGCCCAGAACCAGGAAACATGCAGCCTCACATATGGTCCTTCCAGACCAGAGTGGAAACAAATCAATAGGACAAGTGCAAGTAAACCAGAAGAACACATCCTTGCACTTGTGTGGAATCCCTTTGACTTAAATATAGATCTGTTTGAAGGATTTGGGGCCTTAACTGTTACATGCTACTGCATAAGCTGATGAACAAATGAAAAATGATCTGGAAGATGCAGTTTACTTAGCAGAAATTAGCCCGTAAAATGGATATGTTGAGTCACGCATTTTAATTAGCAGCAAAAATTAGCACCCAGAAAACCTAAGTAGTTAAATTTTATAAAAATCTGCTGGTTTGCACACAGTGGTGCCTGACTAATTTAGAGTGCAATTAGAGCAGGCAGATGATTTCCATTTTCAGGGCTGCTAACTGCTTTGCTTGCTCTTTTGGAAATATTTTGAGGGTAGCAGAGAAATGCTGCTTCTTGGAACATCAAATTGTTTTCTGGTTTTAGTTTGGGGTTTTGGTGTAATTCAAGTTTGTCAGAGAAGAATATTACCCTTAATTCTCTCTTTCATGAGATGACGATCTAGTGACTGATGCTTGGGATCTGAAATCAGAAAATCTGTGCTCTTTGAACAACTCTACTGTGTGTCGCTGGACAAGTTTCCCTTGATTGAAATGGAGATAATGGTTTTCAGTGGAGTGCAATATATGTTGTGAGGCACAGTTCACTGATAGTTGTAAAGCACTTTAAGATCCTCGAGGGAAGGCTGTGGAGCTAGCAGAAAATGTTCCTTATGTAAGCCATTGTCATTCAAGGGAAATTTTTATATAAAAATATATATTTGTAACCAAATGGAAGCTAGTACTATGCAAACACTACAGGCTGTGGTTTGAAAGCAGTCCGTGCCGGGCGTTTTAGGGCTGTTTGGGGAGTAGAATACCTTGGCTTTTAAACAGGCATTTTGGCCAGAAGAGTCCTCCCTTGTCTAGTTACCTTGGCGCATTGTTGCATGTGAATGAGCAGTGAAGTGCACCCTAAAAGGGCCATCTTTGAAAATGTAGCTTTCTGGTAAACGTAATGGGAAATAGAGAGCCTGGAGTTTGGGAAAGTGGAGCTGAAGTATTTGGGTTGCTAGCTACTAAAGCACAGAAGGGTCTAGTGCAGAAGTTCCCAAACTGTGGGGCATTCCCAAGGGAGGGGCCTCACAAGAACATGATGGGGCCATGTCGAGGTGAGGGGATTCAGACCACCCAGATTCCCTGTGAGTACTGAACCCTTTCCCTGATCAAACCTCTCTCCACAGTTACGGAGGGGCGAGCCTGAGACATGAATCTATGAAGATGGGCTCCACAAGAACATTTGGGAACCTCTGATCTAAAGAACAAGGCTGTGACATTTGCATGGTTGAGTGAGAGTCTGACTGGAAATGCAGGTCTTCCACACCGAGGGTTGAGTTGGCTTCTCAAGAATCTTCTTATCCCTGAATATTACTGAGGGCGAGTGGCTGGGATCCATTGTGTTAGTGTCATGGGGCTGAATCTAGGCCTATTGAAGTCACTGAAATCTCGACATAGACAGGACCAGAATTTGGCCAGTTGAGAGCAAAGAGTCTGATGTGGTTTGTGCCATTTCTCCACGTCAGGTCAGAGCTTTGCTTCTGGTGTGACTCTTCCGCCTTAACTTCTAAGGTGAACTCAGAGTATCTCTAGCCAGACTCTTCATTGCTCTGTTTCGCTTCCTCTTCCCCAGGGATTGCGAGGTTTCTTGTTGTGTTCTCCTCCTCCAAACTGTGAAGAAATTAGTACTGTCTCTTTTCATTTGCTTTTGTTTATAAAAGTCAGCCAGTCTGCAACTCATCTGTGTAAGTTTCACTATCCAGAGCTTTGGTATCTGGTATGCCCCAGGAATGGTTGCAATAGATCATATATGTTATGATACTGTGGTGGGGAGAAATTAAGCCATCAGTAAAGAAAACAGAATTTTGCTTATTCCAGCTATCAGTAGGAATGTATAAACTTTGCAATATTAAACCACCCCACAACATTCTACAGGCAGTCCCCGGGTTACGTACAAGATAGGGACTGTAGGTTTGTTCTTAAATTGAATTTGTATGTAAGTCGGAACTGGTACATATTGTAGGGGAAACTCTAGCCAAACATTTCTCCAGAGCTCAGTTTTATTCTCCCACACCTCACTTCCCTCAGTCCTTTATTCTCCAGCTGAGGTGTCTGCTGAGAAAAGCTGCTCCGTGTCTCCCTGGCCTGCTGGGGGAGGGGGGGGGGCGCTAGCTTCGCGTCTCTCTGGTCTGCTGGGGGGAAGCTAGTGCGGGGTTGCCTCACCCCGTTTGTAAGTAGGGATCCGATGTAAGTCGGATCCATGTAACCCGGGGACTGCCTGTACTTTAAAATCAACTTTAGTCTGGTCACAAATTATAGATTGCTATATGACACCTCTTGATAGCGGAAGGGCAGTTGGAGGGGATGTCTCTGAGCAGTTCTTAGAACTCTTATTTACATCCATCGCTTTGACTTGGGAACCAGCATTGGTGAATCTCTTAAGAATTTTAACCTTGAAATCTTTGCGACTGGGTGAGGAGAATGGATTGAGGGTTAGAACAAGAGATTTCTAAATTATATTTTCTCTTCCAAACTAGTGAAATATTTCTGTTTTTGGAGACACAAGCTTTCTCCTTTTGGCTCTCGTTACCGACTTCTCTAGTACAGGGCAGGGCAATCTAGGCTAGAGAGTGGCCTCCTTCATCTCAGGGGGCCACAAAATTGTTGTAACCAAGACAGTCTCCTGGGATAAGGCAGATTTGCAGAAAGCGCTTGCGTCCCTAGAATTTGTGAGATGTGCCAATTGAACCGTAGCAGCACTTTGATTGGATGCCGAGGGAGCACATGGCTCTTACTGGGGATGTAAAATCCCGTGTAATTGGTTGACCGGTTAAACATAGTGCTGACGCTACATTTAACTGATTTAAAGAGGCTTGGGGGGGTTTGCTCAAGCAGGGCTGGAGCAGCCCCCTGGCCTGCCGGGGTTGGGCTAGAGTAGCCCCACCATAGGAAGGGGTGCTCCAGCCCGGCTCTCCCAGCCCCCTGCAGGGCTTGGCGCAAACGTTCCTGCCGGACCCTGCGTGGGGGCTGCTGGTGGAACTGGAGCAGTTCTCTGCCTGAGTCTGGGCCACGGGCTGGGGGCTGTTCCTGGGTACTGGTTAGCTGGTTAACCATTATCCAGCAAGCCTCGCCCATTCAGGGTGATGCTTATCGGATAACGCTTAACCGGTTACCCGTTAACATCCTTAGCTCTCACAATGTTGTGTGCCATCAGCGCCCACCTCACCTCATGTGCCTGAGGACAAGTTAAAATGTTATACTCTGCCAGTAGAAACATTTTAAAACAAGCAAAATGCAGGACAATGTAGCACTTCAAAGACTAACAAGACGGT